GCAGGTCTGTCTAAATAAGATAGGTTGGATGAACATCTGGAGGAGAAAACAATGGGACCCACAGTTCCCGAGGGGGGCCGGGCCAGGGGGAGGTGGGGGGATGAGTAGGTCCTGGCCATAGTGCCTGGGCCTCAGGTCCCCCACAGAGCTGTACAGGCGGAGGTTGCCATTGACCAGGGAGCTAGTGTCTGGAGGAAAAGAGAGGCAAACATGAGGCCAGGCCCTGGCAGCCCCCGCTCCCCGAGGCAGAGCCTTTCCATGCTTCCTCCCAAACGTCCGTGAGCAGGGGCGGGTGGCACCAAGCTCCCAAGCTGTCCTGAGGGGGGGCCCTCTTTCTTCTGGGGGGCTCCAGTGGGGAAGATGAGGCCTTGGTCTTTGCTCCTGCTCCCTCTCAGTCATCTCCCCACTTCTCTACCATGGACCCCCTTCCTGTCAAGCAGCCCCAGTCCCACAGCCACGGGGACAGTAGCCGATTCGTGTCCACTCTGGTCCCCTTAACCCTGCTCCCCCTGCAGGTACAAGGGCCACTCTTCCGTCATCCCCGCTGAGCCAGTGCGACACTGTTTCCGGCCAAGACCTTGGTGGGGACAAAGCCCTAAAGGCCAGGGTTCAAATCCTAGCTTGATCACTTACCAGATGTGTGACCTGGGACACCATACTCATTAACCTGGCCTAACCTCGGTTTCAACGTCTATAAAATGGGCTTGATATTAGCGCCTCCCCCATGAGTCGGCTGGGAGGATGAAGTTAGAGAATTCATGTAAATACACATGCCACCGAGGTGTGAGGCATTGGATGGGGTGCCCAGGAGAGACAGACTGGTATTCAGAGAGCTGGGGTCCGGCCCAGGGCTGCTGCCTCCACAGGGCTTTCTACTTCGATCCTGCTCTGTCCACTCAACATCCTTCCCCAGCCAGAAGTTGGGCTTAGCCAACCCTGGCTCCAACACCCAGCCCCACTGCTTCCCCCTGCGGCCTGGGCCAGAGCTAGGAGAGCTGCTGGGTGGGGCCTCCAGGTGCTCCCCCAGCTGGGGAGGTAGGTCGGATGGTTGGCTATTGCTGTGCTCTCCGCCCTGCCCCTCCCCAAGAATGACAGAAGGAAAGATGGCTGAGCCCCATGCCCAGGGTCCTCTCACCTGTCACGTCTTGGTCTGCAAAGCCTTCTGGGACAGACGGGGTGGGTACGGCCAGTCCATGGTTCTCCTGTGCGTTCTGAAAGGGACCACAGGAGAGGCAGATGGTTCTGAGGCCGCTGCTCTGCAAGGCCACCTTATTGACCGCTGGGGTTGGGGGGTGACAGTGGCATCCCCTCTTGAGCGTGCGACAACCACTGAGGGTGAGTTGCTAAAACGGATGCATTTTTAACGAGGACATGAAATGTTGTGCATGCGTGGTGAAAGCAGACATGACACGCCACCCCAACAACGACCTCCTGAAACACCGAGTGCACATGCCGCCAAGATTCCCGCTCTCCTTCCCAAATCAGGGCACTGCCACGGGCAGGTGTTCAATGCCCCCGATTGAGCAAGCCCGGCCCTCCTTTCTAAGGAATGTTTTTTTAATTTAATTTTTAAAAAACATTTTATTAGGGGCTCATACAAGTGTTATTGCAATCCATACACACATCAATTGTGTAAAGCGCTTTTGTACATCATTCTGAAAACATTTTCTCTCCACTTAAACCCCCGACATTAGGTCCTCATTTTTCCCCTCCCTCCCCGCTCCCCCCTCCCTCATGAGCCCCTGATAGTTTATAAATTGATATTTTGTCATATCTTGCCCTGTCCGACGTCTCCCTTCACCCACTTTTCTGTTGTCCGTCCCCCAGGGAGGAGGTCACATATAGTTCCTTGTAATCGGTTCCCTCTTTCCTACCCATTCTCCCTTTACCCTCCCTGTTTCGCCACTCACACCACTGGTCCTGCAGGGCTCATCCTCTAACGGATGGTTTTTAAAGGGTCTGCCCAGAGGTGTCACAGACAAGAGATCTGGTGACCTCCTTCTAAAACAAAAACACAACCCACCCATGGCAAGCTCTCTGACATCCAGGGATTCCCCACAAGTGGGGGCCGGCTGGGCAGCAACTGGGCCTGGTATTGTGGAAGGTGTGTGGGTCGCGTCTCAAGGAAGGAATCAAACAGCCACACACCGGCAGTGACTCCTCACTGCTGTCCACAGACGGCGGGCCGAGCGCCTCGGCCCTCCCAGCCTGCAATGGACACCCAGCCGTCTACACGGAGAAACCAGTAGGAAGGGGTGCTGGATCCCAGCAACACTCCACAGGCCCCTCGGACCACCAAGCTTGACAGATCAGCATGCGCACACAGCTGGACGTGCGACTTCGCGACCTATTTCTTGTTGCTGCTCCTTCATAAAGCGCATTTCCCTACGTCCGCTGGGTCCACACACCTGACACTTAAGGGCGGTGGGCCCCCCATGGTCCAGGTCCTCAGTGACCTGCCTCCTGCTTCCCAGCCAACCTGTGCTTCCTACTCACTCATCACCCTGCAGCTTCCGGGTCGGACCCTGCGACCCCACATGCTGAGCCCTGACGCTGGGTCTTGGTTAGGCTGTGCTCCCCGCCCTGCCCCTCCACCTTCTACGAACCATAGTCCCGACCTGGGATCGACCCATTACCTTCGTCACGCCACTCTGTGAAGACACGCTTCCCATGGAGCCGATGCGGAAAGGGAACCGAGGCTCAGAAAAGCCGCCTAAGTCCCACAAACAGTGGGAGCAAACCCAGGTCTGCGGCTCCCACCCGTGTGCTCCTGCCGTTGTTGGCAGCTGTGGGATTCGCCTGACTCACAGTGACGCCCTCCCTGCCGATGGAACAAAGCCCGCCCAGTTCTGCGCCGGCCTCGGGCTCAGATCTGACCACTGTTTCCTTTTTATTTAATAAATCATCTTATTGGGGGCTCTTACAGCTCTTATCACAGTCCACACATCCTTCGTATCAAGCACATTTGTACATTTGTTGCCTTCATCGTTTTCAGAACGTTTTCTTTCTGCGTGAGCCCTTGCTATCAGCTCCTCTTTTTCCCCTCCCTCCCCCGTGCACCCCTGATAAATGCTACATTTTTATTATTTTCCTATCTTACACCACCCGCTGTCTCCCTTCGTCCACGTTACTGTTGTTCGTCCCCCTGGGGAGGGGGGTAATTATACATCAGTGCCCCCATGTCTCCCCCCCACCCCCCTTCCCCTTCCCCTCATGGTATCGTGACTCCCACTGGTGCTCCTGAGGGGTCTGCCAGTCCTGGATTCCCTGGACCACTATTTTCATTGGCTGGGTTTCAGAGGCCAATTGCCGGCCCTTTCTCCCGAGGCTGGAAGCCTCCCTAACAGGTGGGTCGTGGTTGCCCATGAGGTGTGTCGGCCAGGATGAGAACCTGGGACCTGGGAGATGGCACATTCAGCCCTGAACCACCTGAGACCACATCCTACAAGGTGGGGGGGGGGGGGTTAGCTGGGACCCCCCGGTGGGAGGGTCGATGGTTGAGACCATTGGCCTCAGAGTCAGACTGCCTGGGTTTGAACCCTCTCTGCCACCTACGAGCTGTTGCTCCAGCAAAGTGTGAGCAAAATAGACGAGAAGGAGGCTGTGAGGATTCAATGATGCAACGCACACACGAAAAACACTGTAGCGCCTGCTATTAGGGGGTCGTAAACATCCCATACATGTTACTGCGGTGGTTACCCCAGGAGCGACTCCTTGTCTGCGGCAACCTACACCGACCCAGGGCAGGGAGGGGGACTCTTGGTGCTCTCTGGAGTCCCTGACGGTGCAAATGTCTAGTGACCGAAAGGTCGGTAGTTTGAATCCATTGCGAGGTGCTGCAGAAGAGAGCCCCGGTGAACTACTCCCCAAAGATCGCAGCCCTGGAAAGGCTCTGGAAGCACAGTCCACTCTGACCCCCAGGGCTCGCCACGAGTCTGCGTGGACTTGCTGGCCACTGGCTCTTCAGCTGCGTTCCTCCACGGAGACCCGGGAGCTCAGGCATCCGTCGGACGCATGTCCCTCAAAGCTGGACACACAGCAAGCCCAGTGGGCCCTCACCGCCAGCACGGACCCTCCGAACTTAGCCACTGCACACACAAGGCGGGAGACTGCAAGGTTGGGGGCCTGCCCGAGGCAACCACAAGACAAGGACGGTCTCGGAACACTCTCTGCTCCCTGGGAGGGGAAGCGGGGTGTTGGGGAGCACACAGCTCATTTACTTCTTTAAATGACATCCGAGTCACTTTTAAGGGTGCCATTCAGAGCCAGGCAAGCCATCTGCGGGGCTGCTCCGTCACCGTGCCTGAGCATAATCAGAGAGTAGAAAGAGCAGGGAGGCGGGCGCTCTAATCTGGATTCCAGTTACTGAGGAATGTGACCTTGGGCTCCAGCTCCTGTGCTGAGGGCCCTGTGACCTGGGATGAACCGTGCGGACGGACGGACGGACCTGCCCGCACAGCCGTCTGGACCCCGTGCTAAGAGGTCTGCGGGGGCTACGTCACGATCCCGGACCAGAGCCAGGATGCACGTCCACCTTGTCTTCCCTCCACTCCACGGAGACCCGATTTCCTCATGACTCAAAGGGGGACGACACTGTCTGCTAGGCAGGGACCTTAGGAGGGTCCAGTAACCCAGGAGACCCAGGCTACTTGAGGGATGACCAGAGTCGGGGGAAATGTATGAACCATCAAAGCCGAATTCCCTGGATCCTAGAATGGCCTTCCGCGTCACCCTGGGTGGTTAAATAGAATTGAGGACTTTATGGCCAAGGTCACATGCCCTGCCTGCTCTTTGAGCGCCCAGCGCCCTGAAAACACATTAGACTCCAGAGCCCATGGGATGGACAGATGGAAGGCCTTCTAACAGCAGCTCCGGGTTGTTAGCCAAGCTCCCCCCACAAATAAGGAGGCATTAGGGTGCACTTACCATCCCCTCACACCCCTGTCCCGTGGCCCCACACAACAGAACAAAAGAACCTGCAGCCTCGCCTATGGATCCAACCGCTGTAAGCCAGAAGGCTTCTACTGGCCGCATTCCGGCCGATGGCCAGGCTTTATCTCCTAGTTACCCTTCATGTGGAAAACCCTCTCCAAATCTAGCTCAGCAGCACAACCCTGCCAGATGGGGGTGGCCGTGCCTGCACTCCATTGGCCAGATTCAAACCGGCTCCTCCCACAAGGAAAGGTGGGGATTCTACCACTGGACCCCCTTACTCCTCACAGAGCACAAAGCTCCGGGGCTCCAATCCCACACCCCAGGCCCAGCCCACAGGGCTCCGGCGGCTCTCTCGGTCCCCTCTCCCACTGTGGCCTGCATTCAGGGACAGCAAATACCAACTCATTTCCACGTCAGCCCCAGAAAACCAGACTGGGGAGACAAACCGCTCCCCTGGTCAGCACAGGGACCCAGACAGACAGGTGCACCCGTCACTTAGATGAGGGCGTCTTGGAGTGGGTTGATGGGATCCGTGGGGTTTTCATTGGCTGGCCTTTTCTTCCTGGTCTTAGTCCGACAGCTCTGCTGAAACCTGGTTAGAATCTCGGCAACACACAAGCCCCTGCCGACAAGCGGGGGCAGTACATGAGGTGCACAGGCTGGGAATCAAACCCAGGTCTCCCGCACATAAGGGAAGTACTGCACCACAGAACCACCACTGTCTGCTTATTCATTAAAGGGGCCTGCTGCGGACCAGGCGGGAGCCCGGGTGGTGTAGTGGTTCCGAGTTGTGCTGTTAACCGCAAGGTCGGCAGTTCGAAACCACCAGCCGCTCTGTGGGAGAAAGACAGGGCTTTCTACTCCCATAAAGTTACAATCTCAGGAACTCACAGGGGCAGTTCTGCCCTGTCCTATGGGATCGCTATAAGTCGGCATTGACTGAGAAAATGCCCGACATAGATTAAACACTCAAACCCCAAACCCCAAACACTGCCCTCAGCCCATCCTGATTCAGGCAGTCCTAGAGAACAGAATAGAAATGCCCGGTTACACAGCAGGCCCCTAAGAATGAATAAGCGGGCAGTGGTAGAATGTCGCGGAATGTCCAATGTCGTGGAAGGAGAAAGACGAAGCTTTCTACTCCCATAAAGAGTTACAGTCTCGGGAGTTCACGGGGCAGGTCCACCCTGTCCCCCAGGGCCGCCAGGAGTGGGCATGGAGCAGTTTAGTTTTTCCTCTCTCCATGCCGCCTGAAGTAACAAAGCGAGCCCCGTCG